GCAATTCTGATGCAACTTAACAATATCCTTCCGGGGTTTTTTTTCTCTTTTAGGTTGCCCACAACACTCACTTTTATCCATTATGTAAGTTTTAAAACCACGATCAAACTAAAAGATGATGCGAAATAAATGTAGAAGTATACTATGTATATGTATCAAGGATTTATAGACATACCACACATAAGTGCGAGACTCGCGCATTTGAGATCTGACAAGCGCTCATACCAAGGGACCAAATCCTTGCGCATGCATGTAATGCTGTCAATTAAAAACAGGTACCTAATAGGCTCGCAGAAAATCTTAAAATATACGTATTGTCAAGGAAAATTGTGGGCTTGTAATAAATTTCTAGTTGAAAAATAGTACCGTCGGTCACGGTGGTAGAGAACACATTTCTGGGCATTGCAAAAAAAAACAAAAACATGATTTAGTCTCACACCTGCAAATTTGTTGGAATCTGTAAACATTGAGATTAGTGGAAGTACATGGTATGCTATTTCATGATGGTGCCAGTTGTTCTGAAAAGCTTGTATATTCGCTTTACTTCTCATTTGATTATGTACAATAGGCCTACGTCTGTCCAAAAAATTTAGTTTCTTGTGATTTTGAATTGAAAACAAGTGACTCTTTCCACCTTAACACAGAAAGTAATACAATAATTTACACTAAATTTTAAAATAGTCAATGATAACCAAAATAATACTACTACTGTATATATCAACATTTTAGAGTTCCTACTGCTAAACCATCTTACGTGCATCTCTCTTAAGCCGGTTACTCACTGCGTGCGACGGCAACGCGAACCCAACGGATCCGTTCAGATTATTGACAATCCGCAGGCGGCGTTGCGTCGTCTATCGCTCAACGGAAGCAAATGTGGATTCGTCGTGCGACGGTCGTACAAGTGGGTGTCATTATGGTGATGGTTCATTATAAAATGTTTTAAGTCCCAGCAGCAGCAGGCAGACAATCTCTCAACAAATTTGGGATCGTTAAAATAATGCTCTGTCCAGATTATCAAAAACTTGTGATTGTTTTGCGGCCTGCAAAAATGAATTACAAACACTCAGTGTGCGACCCGCCAACCAACCTCTACTAGAAACACCTTGTTTTTTGTGGTCTGGCACTAACTATTTGTAAAAAGTACATGTAATCGTAAAACTGAGCATGAAGTGTGGCCATAAAACAGTATATGATGGTTTTTTGAAAGTGCACTGAAACATCTAAGTTTGGGTGCGCCCTCTGAGTTGAATAAAAAAATCACTTTGGCCCTCCGACAGGGGTGGCGCCAGGACCTGCCCGATGGAGGGGCTAAAGGCCCCGACGGGGGGCCTGGTGGAGCGAATCAGTCTCACTTGGGTGGGGAGAGGGGGTCGCCTAGGCCACGGATATTTGATGAATTATGGCGAATTTTTATTACTTATTTGATAGGCATCGAGTTACTATAATATGACATCATGTAGGCTATGCTTTCTAATCAGCTTCCAAAACCAACACATTTTGATTGAAACAAGAAACAAATGCCTGTCTCTTATACACATCTAGATGTGTATAAGAGACAGCAATTAAACATTGATGTATATTAAAACGGCTGTTTTTAATATTAAGTTCATCATCTGGTACGTTATTTGACTGCACCTTTTATGCTTAATAAAGCGATACTTTACTGAATAATCAAAACTGCTAAGAATTTATTGTAAAAAAATACTAATAACATATATTTTTTGGCAACTTGATAAAATTCCTAATGATACATCTCATCCAGAGCATGACAAAATATTCATATTTATAATGATTGTAGAACATAATGTAATATACCACACCTTGTGCAATCCGAACGAATCCGTCACTTAATTCGTCGTGGGGGCTCGGGTTCCAGTTACGCGCAGGCTCAGTCGGAAGATGTTTACATATGTGGCCACAAATAAAACAAGAGGAACCTTTTCTAGTTATATACTTAATAATGATTTATTGGGTAATGGGGATTACAAATAGGGACTTATAAATTGGACCTAACCTAACCTAACAAACTACTCACG